GATGGCACCATCCCTAGCCAGGTGGGTCTGAGCTGTATAGGAAAGCTAGTAAGGGTACTGGAGAGCTGGCTCAGCCATTAAGAGCTCTGGCTGCTCTTGCAGAGGACCTAGGTTCGATTCCTAGAACCCACATAATGGCTAACAACCATCCATAACTCCAGGTCCAGGGGATCCAATACCCTCTACTGACCTCCATGGGCATTGCATGATACAGGTACACTTATACAATGCAGGTAATACACTCATACATATAAAATAAAAATAATAAATACTTTCAAAGAAAGCTAGCTAAGCAATCCAGCAAGTGGCATTCCTTCCTGGCTTCTGTTCCAGGCTCCTGCTTTGAGTCCCTGTGCTGACTTCCCTCGATAATGGATTAGGACCTGGAAAAATAAGATGAAATAAACCTTTCTTCCCCCAAGTTGCTTTTGATCATAGTATTTTATCACAGCAGGATGAAGCTAGAACAGAGCCCCTCTCTGGAGATAGGGCTGCCTCTTTGGGTGGGGCGGGGGGCTGCTTTCCACTGGAGAGGAGTATTCCACTGGAAATCACAGTTGCCCACGCCCCTTGGCACCAGCTGTCCCCTGGGTATGCCCACACCTTCTTCTTGAGCCTTGGGGGAGGAGCTCAGACACCCCCTTCCCAAGGCCATCTCCTAGGGGATGTTTGTCCAAAGTGGGTGTACCCTCCCCACCAGTGAAACCCCCTCCCCACACTTACCCTCCTCCGTGTCTTCCTTCCTAGTAAACTTACTCTTCTCCATCTGCTCATCTCTCTGCCTTCTGGAGTAAAGCTCCAGGAGCCCGGCCTGTGTGTGTGTCGTGTCTACTTCCCTGCCCCAAAGCCTTCAGCAAGCCTGATGCCTCCTCAGTGCTGAACATGTTTTCAGAACCTCTATGTGACAAGGAGCAGGCCATATTCTTTTTCTCTCTCTCAATGCCCAAAGAAGGTTCCAGAATATTCTATCAGAATAAAATAGTCACCTGGCCTTCTCAGTCAGGAATCATGAAAAGATGGAATCGGGAAAGACTGCCTACAGGGAGAACATACCCCGCTGTGTTACTGTCAGTCGTCTGTACAGGTTCCCTTATGTCAACTTGACACAAACTGGAATCATCTGGGAAGAGGGAGGATCAGTTGAGGAATTTCCTCCTCAGACTGGCCTGTGGATGTGACTGTGGAGTTTTTCTTGATTGCTAATCAATGTGGTCAGTGCAGATGGGCCTGCGTTCTATAAGAAAGGTAGCTGAGCAAGCCAGCAAGAAGCATTGTCCCATGGTCTCCGCTTCAGCCTCCAGGCTCCAACCCTGACTTCCCTCAGAGATGGATTACGACTGGGAGTTGTAAGATGAAATAAACCCTTTGCCATCCAAGTTGCTTGTTATTATAGTAACAGAGAACTGAATTAGAATACCATCCAAAGAGCTGTTGTGTGCTGGGGTGCGGCTCAAGGGGAGAGCACTTGCCTGGATGAAAGTGGCGGGTTCTTGCCCCATAGAAAAGGAGAAAGGACCTTTGGTTCTTGGATGATGAGAGACTTTCTCAAAGTAGAAGTGGTGGTGGAAATGTTGAATGGTCCTGTCAAGACAGGCAAGACCACTGGAGGAAGGGCTAGAGGAATAGGAGCCGGAAGTCCCGGGGGGCTTTCATCATGCCAAACTGTGAAGGCCAGCATACCCAGGCTGCGGGGTAAGGACCAGCGCTGTGATGTGACTGACCCTCAGGGTTAGCCACTTCACTGAGACCTCACATGCCATCCCAGGAGAACATAGCTGTTTTGTGGTTTAACCAGAGGCACCCTGAGGGATTACTGCCCAAACGTCACTTCTCAGCCGGCTGCAGCCTGTGCGTTAGATAACAGGCGCCTATGATTCTAAATGAGCCAGGATTTGGAAAGAACTTGGAGGTTGTTCTCCAACAGAGAAAGACAAGGCCATGGAAGATGGAGCTGTTACACAGATGCCTGCACCCCGTCCAATAGCACCTACCACAGACATGACTGGGTGCATTTGCGGATGGAGACTGCTCTAGTCTCGAGCCTCAGAAGTTTAATTTCTGAACTTGAATTGATTTCTTTTGTCTTGTTGTTTGTGTGTGTGTGAACATGCACACATGTTCATACAAGTGCAGGATGCATGTGGAAGATGTACCGGTGGTGGTCAGAGGACAACCTTGGGTGGTGGTCCTCTCTTTACACTCGTTTGAGACAGGGTCTCTTGCTCAGCCCCTGAGTGCACCAGGCTAGCTGGCCCACAAGTTCTGGCTGGTCTCATGTCTCTGTTTCCACCTCACCATAAGAGCACTGGGATTACAGGCATGCCCTAAAGCTTTACACAGGTTCTGCAGATCCATCTCAGCCCTCACACTTGCATTGAAAGCACTTTACCCACTGACCCACATCCCCAGGCCTCTGTTCCTTCTCCAATGTCAACTCCTGTCCCTTACAAAGTGCACCTGCATGTCTGTGTCTTTGTGTGTATCCATATTTGTCTGTGTGTCCGTGTGTGACTCTTGAGTGTGTGGTAGTATCCACGGCGAGGATGCTGGTAGGGAGCCGGTGAGGACCTTGGTGATGGTGGGCAGGACATGGTGAAGGCCATGGTGATGATGCTGGTGTGTGGATGGCAGTGAGGGGGTGGTACTGCAGCTGTGGGGGAGGTGACAGTAGCTGTGGAGATGGCAGTGGTCAGGGGAATTAACGTGGGGTGATGTGTGCTGAACCCTTGCTTTAGCTTGGTGAATAGAGCTGACTCCCCCCTCCCATCACCTGGGGCCTCTGGACACGGCTGCCTTATGAGATGGCTTGTTGAATAGAGCTGATCTCCCCCTCTGTCATATGGGGTCTGTGGACTCCACTCTCTGTGAGACATGCTAATTCAAGCTGCTCTTCTCTCTACTGCTGTCATTCTTGCTATAAACCTTCCCGAGACCTTCAACTTCCCCTAGGGTCTGTCCTAATTAACTTGAATGCTTTTTAGAGACCAGTCCCATCTGGAATGAACTGGTCATAGTGTGCCACCACAGCACCTGGCTGCATATGACCATGAATGAGGTTCAGCAGGGAGGAACACTGAAAGCGGTCTGAGCTCAACCTAGGTCAAGCATGCTTCTTTGTAGAGAACTGCTCTCGGATCCTGTGGGATGTACCGGTCTTTTTCACACAGAGCCCTTCTAAATTGAAAGTGTTACACTCTATAATTTGTTGGAGCTGTTCTGCATCATTTTGTTACAAAGTTTTGAATAATTAATCTATCTGCCAAAGAAACCTATAAAGATTTCAGAGAACTTCGTTACAGCCCTGTGTGTCCGTCTCGGTTTATCATCGGTTTATCATCTTTGCGTCCAGCAGAGCGGGACTTGCCTTGGTTCATTTATTGGTGGTTTAGAGTTATGCTCCAGGGTTGATAACTTGAGACTGATAGAAAGCACTTGGGAGGGGAGTGGTGTCATCAGTTTGCTGTGGAAACATCAGGACCCAGGAATTATTGCCAAGCTCAGTTGTGACACAGCAGCTTTCTGCCATCTTTAGGGAGATGTAGCGGTTGGTGTTGGCCTGTCCAGTTGATTGAGATCCAATTGTAATGTCATCCTGTAACTGTCTCCGTGGGGAGGTATGCCTGGGCTTGCTGGACAGCAAGCACGCTTCCTCCATAGGCCATAAAACCTTCTGGATTTCTGGCAGGCCTTTCCTCATCTTCACTGTGTCAGGAAATGAGAAAACGCATTTGCAAGAGAGAACATAACTATTACTCTGTTTTCTGTGGGTATGACAAAATGGTTGATGCTGTACAGTGTATAAAGAAAAGAGCTTGTAGTTTGCAGGGGGATTTCAAGGGCACAATACTGACATCTGCTCTGCCGTGCTGAGGGTCTTGTGTGGCAGATGGTATCACAGCAGCAGGAGGCAGGAGGGGGAGTCATGTGGAGGGACAGAAAGCAAGACAGACTCGGACAGCTTGTTCTGTTGTGATCTCAGTCTCCTGGGAGCTAGTCAGAGTCCCTCAAGAGCGACTTTAATCCCTTCAGGGGTAGCACTAGCTTCCACTAGGACCTACCTCTTAAAAGCTCCATTACCTCTCACAGCGGCAAACTGGAGACCACTCTTCCAGCACATAAACTCCTGGGGGACCCACTAAACCAAACCTCTAACACTAGCTGCTGTCAGAAAATGCCTGGACTCTCTGTGGCTCACAACAGAAGTGTTTCAATGCTTCATGACCCTGAGACTCTAGGCTTCCACTAGCGTTTCTCCCTCTAGTGGGTCAGGACCAGGTATCATGTCTAGGTCCTCCACCTCCTAAGGGAAAGACGGATTTATGGGATCATCATGTCTATAGCATGGACTCAAACATCGCTGCTTTCTATGTTCCACTGCCAAAAATTAGTTGTTCTCCATTCCAGGGGCCTGGGCAGATGCCATAGAACCCAGAAGGGGACCAGCAGCCTGCGACTGTCTCTGCCGTACTCTCAGTAACCATGCAAGAGCAGGACTTGTATTCTTAGACCACCCCCATCACAGCCACACCAAGTAAAGACTATGACTAGACCTTCATAGACCAGTCTCAGCCAGTCCCGACCTACGGGGGACCCACCATGTGGCCCCTGTACCTGTAGAATCAAGTGTACCTTTTTTTTCTTTGCACTTACCAATAAGAACAGTGGTATGTGTTGTGGTCAGCTACAGGTCCTGAGAGCCCAGTTCCAACCTCAACATCTCACCAGGGACTTTAACACACATAAGGGGCTCTGTCTAAAGCGGTTGTGAAACTGTCAAAACATCATCTCTTTTTCAATAAAGCTCTTCTTCCTCACCGTATGGGATCACCGGATGGGAATGAGTGTCTGGGCCACCTGAAAGAGCCTCATTAGACATTGTGTTCAAGTCCCTGCTCATTAAGATCACAAGCAGCTGGGCAGTACTCCCATTGGACAGCCTGGGTTGCAGCACATGAAGGCAGAGAAGTACCCAAGTGACTCACTGGGCCTTTCCTCCTCAGGTTCCCGTTCCCCATGGTGTTCAGCAGCTGCAGCCGGAAGGACCTGGAGGCCAGCCTGGAGAAGGGAATGGGGATGTGCCTCTTCAACCTGCCAGAGGTCAAGCAGGCCTTCGGGGGTCGGAAGTGTGGGAACGGCTATGTGGAAGAGGGAGAGGAGTGTGACTGTGGGGAGCCAGAGGTAAGGGAGCCATCTCTACAGCGCCTGCCTCATGCTCTAGGTGGGTGGATTGAGAGCCGGGGCAGCAAAGTGAACATGCCGAGAACGGATGGTAGGGGATGGGGAGACAGTTCAGCCGGTAAGTGCTTGCCATGCAACCTGTGTTTGAGCCCCAGAACCCATGTGAAAAGCTGAGTGTGGTGTTTATGTGCCTGTAATTCCAACACTGAGGAGGCAGAGACGGGCAGGCCCCTGGGGCGTACCAGCCAGACACCCTCACCTAATTGGCAAGCCCTAAGTCCAGGTGTGAGGGGACAGCACTTGAAAGATGATACCTGAGGTTGACCTGTGGCCCCCACAGGTGAACACACAAAACATGCACACACAAGCACACACATGCACACGGGCATGCATGCATACACATACACACAGGCACACACATGCTCATATGCGCACACAGTTGGTAGGGATATGCTGGTTTAGTAAAGGTGGTAGTAGGCTTCCCCTTTCTGAAAACTCCCATCTGGCCACCTTGAACCAGCCCCCCAACACTGCAGTGGCTTCTCGAATGAAAACCAGTGCTCAGAGTAAATTGTACCATTTCGTTTAATCAGGTCCAATATCTTTCTAATGAGAAGTCAGTCCTCTTGGTGAGGAGAGGATGGAAAGCATTTAGCCCGAGTTTCACAGGGAAGAAAGCCTTGGGATTGTGGCTTCAAGGAGCTCATAAGCACCATGCCTTTATAAAGCATGTTGCTAGTGGGGAGTGTGGGTAAGCAGTGCTTAGTGAGAGCCCTCTCTCCAGCTGAAATCATGCCCCAGCCCCTCTGCATGCACAGCCCAGGATCCGGAGGGATCCGGAGGCTTTGGCTGTTCAGAAGCAATAAGAAAAAGCAGCGGACGTTTTCATCTAGCACCAGGCTTACAGGGTTATACCCTGCTTTCCAACCAATCTCAGGAAATGTTCTTGTTTCTATAGTCCAAGATAAAGCTAGTGAATATAAAATATATAACAGCCACTTGGGTTTTTGGGTTGTTTTTTTTTTAACATCTCCCTGTAGCACCAGGCTGGCCTCAATCTCATAGAGATTCACCTGCCTCTACCTCCAGAGTGCTGGGATTAAAGGTGTGAGCCAGAACACCTAGCTAACAACTACCTTTTAATCTCTAAATAGTCCTGAGAAAGAACAGGTGAACAACACCTAGTGTTGCAAGTGTCATCACCTCCTAGTATAGCAAGTGTCCCCTCGAAGCTTGGAGAAGACTGTGTTTAGAGTAAATCAAAGCGAGGGGTTAGCATAGCAGGCAGGCTGTGCATGGGAGAGTGTATGCAAGCCAAAACGATTGACAGGTTCAAGGTGGGCTTGGTCAAGTTCACAGGTGGGATTAAAGAGGGTTTGGGACGACAACATCTCAGGGATCTCCTCCAGAAGAGGGCACCAGGATACAAGCGAGGCTGTGCCAAGAAGTCACGGCATCCCATATATTCCTGTGCTCCTTGCATAAACAACAGCTAAATAGACGACTCCTCATAGCCCATCTCCAAGTCTCTGAGGAGGTTGCATCCCAGCAGGAATGACCTTGGTCATTCTGGGAGAACATAGGTTGGGGGTAGTATCAGATGGGGTGGAAGAGGTGGAGGTGGTTTCATCAAATGGCTTTTATATCCTTGACAAACTCGGAACCTATCGGTGATAATGGCCTTGTACACAGTGGTGGTTAATTTTGCTCACAGTGAGCAGGGAATGGTTGCTAGCTAGGAGCAAGTCCTAATTATAGTGTTACAGAGGGAAATGTGAAGCCATCATGGGATGGTGTGTGCAAAGGAGAAAGAAGTTCCTTGGAGGCCTTCCTAATTGCTTAAGAAAACAACACAATTGGCTTAAATTACCCACATTTCTCTGGAGAGGCCATGTTGACTTAAGATGGTTTGCCTTTGATTTGAATGCCTTAAATTATTTATTAATGCAAATAAATCTGACAGCTCTTCATGGAGTCACGAACTCTGAGATTTGGAATGACTTCATGGGCAGTCATTTGTACCAGCTGCCTCCGTTACCACTGTTAGCATCTCCACAGCCTTCACCTCCACCACCTCCATCACTACCACTATCATCACCACACCTACACTGCCAATCCCATGTTAATTCCCCTGACCACTGCCATCTCCACAGCTACTGTCACCTCCCCCATAGCTGTAGTACCACCCCCTCACTGCCATCTACACACCAGCATCCCTACCAGCATCATCACCATGGCCTTCACCACATCCTGCCCACCATCACCAAGGTCCTCACCGGATCCCCACCAGCATCCTCGCCATGGACACTAGCACTGTCATCACCACCATCAGGACCAGCACTAGCATTTGCTGGTTCCCCCCTGGTTTGCTCTGATTTAGTCTGTCTACATGAAGGTACTGTGCAGTTGGGGTGGGGTACTTGCTCTCCCTCCAGGTACCACACAGCACATGGGCAGCATTGATTGTGACACACTCTTCCCTAGATAGAGCCAAATTCTGCTTGCTTGTAATTTCCAATTTTTTCTTTCTGTGGTTGCAGTCTTTATATTTCATAAAGTGGTTTCTTGCTATTTTAAGAAAACTCTCTTCCCCTCATCCAACACTCTCCCCCTGGGGCTGGGGAGATGGCTCAGTGGTTAAGAGCCCTGGCTGCTCTTACAGAGGACATGGTTTTGATTCCCAGCACCCACATGGTGGCCAGCAACCATCCATAACTACAGTTCCAGGGGCTCCAACGCCCTTTTCTGACCTCCACAGGCTATGCACAACATGGGTGCACTTATACACATGCAGGCAATACACTCATACAAATAAAATAAAAATAATAAAATATATTTTTTTCTTTTTGAGACAGGGTCTCCCTGTAGCTCCAGCTGTCCTGGAACTCACTACGTAGACCAGGCTGGCCTCGAACTCACAAAGATCCACCTGCCTCTGCCTCCCAAGTTCTGGGATTAAAGGCGTGCGCCACCACGCCCGGCACAATAAGATATTTTTTAAAATAAATAACACTCTTTCTCCCAAGAAATCTGTTAAAGTCACAATGAACCTTTTGCCTCACTTATTAGTGTGGCTTTATTTTTGCTTATTTTTTTAAATATATTTACTTTAGTCTCTTTGAGACAGGATCTCCCGGTAGACCAGCTTAACCTCAGTCTCACAGCCTACCTCTGTCTCCCAAGTGCTAAGATTAAAGATGTTCACCACCATGCCCTGGCTATTAGTGTGGCTTTAGTTTACTTTGGATATTTCATGTCTGAAGATTCAAGCTCCCTTTGTGTTCTAATGTCCTCTCTGTTTCTGTGACAAGACGCTTTAACGGGGCAGTTTTGGGGAGGAAAGGGTTTGTTTGGTTTACACATCTACATTGTTGTCCATCGTCAACAGAAGTCAGGGCAGGAACTCAAGAATCTGAAGCAGAAACCAACTGCTTGCTGGCTCCCCTCCTCCCAGGCTCCTGCTTAGCCAGCTGTCTTATAGAGCCCAGCATCACCTGCCCAGAGAATGGTGCCGCCCAATCTGTTCTGGGTAATCCCTCAACGGAGACTTCTTTCTCACGTGACTCTAAGATGCACCAAGCTGATAGTTCATGCTAATAGAACACCATGTGATAATCCCTTTCCAGTTTCTAAGCTGTTTCAGTCAGACCTGTCGTGTGGGCTCTTTCTCCTCTCCCTGTGCGCTCAGGCCCTGCAGACAATTCCTCCTGCCATCCATCACACCAGCCCATGCAGCCACTGACCCAGGGAGGGACTCAGTATGTCACCACATTAGGGGACCAGTGAAAGACAGGTCAGAGCAGTGTCCACTGACATACAGCTCTAACAAGCCTCTGCTCCCTCACTCCCAGAAGTAATCACCATCATTTCTAGTAGCTTTGTCCCAGCTGGTGGTGACTAAGAATCTCCATCTGCTTCCTACAGAGTAAGAAGGACCATTTGACCCTTACACAAGCTCGGTAATGGCTTCATGATTCTTTCTTCTTTGAGGATGTGTCATTCATTGGCTGACTTCAGAAACAGTAAATGCACTAACGAATGAGGAATTTGTCTCTTCTGGTAAATACAGTACTGCAGAAGAAACTGATTCAGGGTAGTTCGTTGCCTTCTGGTAGAAGGGTTTGGGTTTACATCCACAGAAGGAGATCCTGATAGCCCGCTCCCCCTCCCAGTTAACAGTGCTGGGAAAGCTGTCTTATCTTCTCCTTTAAAGTCAAGAGGATAATAATGAAGTTACTTTATCTTCCTCCCATGATGATCCCCTGTGAAGTCATTTGCGTTGGCTGCATTTCCATTGAAGTTGCTGTTGCACTGTTTGGTGATGTGGGGAGGGGTGGAAGGAGGGTTGGTATTTTAGGACCCAGATATCAGATGGTCGCTTTGACTTAGCATTTCAAGGAAATCTCTGAGTTGGCTTACATAGCATTATAAAAGTCACTGAGACCACAGCAAACTGGACCACACCACTGTGTATCTGATGGTATACATCCAGGATGCAATAATGGGGCTCCTTAGAGGGAAAAAAATTGAAACTTGTGTAGAACCGTTAAGTCCTTGAGCTAGAAGCCCTGCCTGTCATGAAAGCTCCCATAATGACTTCTGGTTGGCAATTTTATCTCACTGTGTACATTATACATCCCGGATGTTTAGAAAGTCCTCAAACAAATTTAAAATTTAATAACTTGGGGAGTATGCATGGTAGGGGCAAATGTAAACGCTGTGTGAGATCTCAGTTCACGGAGCTCTGAGCAGGATGCTGGGCGAGCTCTAGAGCCCCCATGAATCTTCCCGATCACTGGCAAATTTATTAATTGTATGTATGATACAAATTATAAATTCCCCCAAAACAGATGGTTTTCAAGTAATCGCTTACACTATTAAACATGAATGTATTTTAGCCTCACGCAGGCCAGCAAGATGTAAGTTCTTCAGAGCACAGCATACACACAGTAAAAGAACATTGAGTGTGTGACCTGTTCCATCTTGTGATAATTACAACTTCTTTTAAAATGTACCAACATCAAGCTATCAGGATGCTCTGAGACTTGAGGGCTCATAGATTTGGTACATAAATTTGTCCAGCCTTCCGTTAAAATAGACAAAAAGTACTTCTCCCTTGCCCTGCTCTGTCTACTCAAGGTGTTGGTTTTGTTTCAGAAAGAATCATACAGATCACTTTTGATCTGTTTAGGTCCTTCGAGAATGGGCAGGCTCAGGCCAGGTGTACTACCATAAGCCTATAGTCCCAGCACTCAGGAAGCAGAGGCAGGATCATCCAACACAAGTTTGAGGCCAGTTTTGTCTACATAGTGAGTTCTAGGACAGACCTTGTCTCAAAAATTTTAAAAGAAGACTGGGCGTATATCTCAGTTGGTAGAGCACGTGCCTTGATCCATGAGCTCCTGGATTTGATTTCCCCAGCACTATTTTTTAAAAAGGGGAAAGGAGGGAAAAGAGAGAGGAGAAAATGAGTGCACTCAGCCTCGGTATCCTTCAGCCTCAGCTGGATGTTCAGTCCTCAGGTTAGAGCATCAACCAAGAGCCTGCCCATGTGAGCAAGTGGTTCTTCCTCACCCCTTGTTTGACTGTAAGAATCCGGGGTCCAAACATAGTTGGTTCAACTTTATTTCCTCTTGGAGCAAAAGTACACTTGAAATCAAAAGTCAAACATTTTCCTTTTTAAAATAAATATTCCAGATAAGTGCTCTACCTCTGAGCTGCACCCCATCACTATCAAAAGGGATCATTCTTGGTAAGGATTGTTTACATGCATGCATTTTTAAATGAGTCGTTTTCAAGGCCTTCAACGATCTTACTCAGCTCACTGCAACACACCATGCATGGTGACCCCTCCAGGAGTCCCAACATGCCGCTGACCTAAAGGGCTTCCAGCCCTGCCCTTCCAGCCCTTTGTCTCCCTTGAAGTGTACTCCAGTGCTCCTGACTCTTCCCAGGACCCCAGACCCGATGGTTCACAAACACTTAGCTTTGCTCTTGTGGCAGGGAAAGCAGTGCCAGGTCAGGTTTTCAGCTCAGGCGCCAGTCCCTCATGTCCTTCGCCATCATTTAAGGTGTGATGTATCTGTGAGCTCTCACTTCACACGGCCCTTCAAACAGATCCCATTGCCCTCCCCAGGAATGTACCAGCCGTTGCTGTGGGAGTCAGTTCCTCATGTCCTTCGCCATCATTTAAGGTGTGATGTATCTGTGAGCCCTCACTTCACACGACCCTTCAAACAGATCCCATTGCCCTCCCCAGGAATGTACCAGCCGTTGCTGTAATGCCACCACCTGTACCCTGAAGCCGGATGCCATTTGTGCACATGGGCTGTGCTGTGAAGACTGTCAGGTGAGTTCAGATTGGCCTCAGGTCACTGAGTGGCTTTGGTGACTCAGCTTGATGCAGGAGAGCAGAATGGTGGGATGGTTTCCCACCTTGTCCTGTGGATGCGTGAACCTCTTTCCAGAGCCGGTATCATCCAGCTCTTATTTGGAATCTTCCAGTTCTCTGGTGAAATGCACAATATAATTTTAATCCATGATAAATTATTGATGGCCTAAAACAAGACCAAGAATCAAGGCTCAGCCTTAATGTGCCACTTATGCAGTCAGCTGCCTCTGTGCACACCAAGTCCTATCTCTACAAGGAGGACAAGGGAAAACCAGACCCCTCCCGTCACTCGGCCTCACCTGGATCCACCTGCCTGATGTCAAGAAAGTCTGTTGGAGAAACCACTGCAGTGGGGCCTGGGTTTTGTGCAAACAACTTTTTTTTTTTTTTGCTTTTGGTTTTTTAGAGATCAGGTCTTCCTGTAGCCCCAGCTGGCCTGGAACTTGCTATGTAGACCAGCCTGGCCTCCATCTCACAGAGATCTGCCTGCTTCTGCCTCCTGAATGCTAGGATTAAAGGCATGTGCCACCATGCCTAGCTTCTTGTGCAAACATCTTGATCTTAATGTCTTCCCAACAGAGGGTGTAACACATACATACATGCAAACACACACACATACAGTCCCACACATACACTCCTACACATACACATATTCACAGGCTCACACATACATACACACATGTACATATACACATACTACACACAGTCGCACACACAAATATACACACACCGTCACACATACACAGGCTCACACATACATGCACATATAGATACACACGCATGCACACATACACATACATACACATGCATACATATATACACATACACATACATACATGTAATACCAAGTGAGATACACAGAGGAACGCCACATATTGATGTCATTGAATTAGGAGTTCAATGGTCAGAGATGGGGATAACACACAAAAGAATTCTCAACCCCAGGGAGAAGCAGGGCAGGGTTTATAAAGCTTAAAACCACAGTTACATCATGACAGGGCAAAGCCAATAACCATAGTTACCTCAGATACGGTAGTTACACCAGACCAGGGGCAGGTCAGCTAACAAAGATATTTTCAATTAACAAAAAGTTTCAGTTGGAAGGACGTTCTACCTGGACATGCTACCTGGCTACTTGTAAGCTTCCCAGGACTATAGAGATGATGTACTTACTGGAACTTCCTGCCTTCGATGCTCTCCCTATCTGGCTGCCGTGAGATTGGCTGGACAAAAACACAGGGTAAAGCAAAAGTCAACTAGAGCAAAATGGGGTTTGTTTTGCCATTTCAATACATGCACAAACACACATATATACATATACACACTCACTCACATACAGACTCACACATGCACATATACACACACAAACACATATGCACACATACACATACACTCATACATAGTCATATACATACACACATACACTCACACAGTCATAACCATAGACACACACAGACTCACAGTCACAGACTCACGCGTACATATACATAAACACATATGCACACATGCACATATACACATAGTCATACACATACATACATGCACATGCACAAATACACATACACTCACACAGTCATATGCATAGACACAGACTCACATATACATACAGTCGCTCACACACATGTGCTGCCACACTCACACAGTCATACCCGTAGACACACAGACACACACACACAGCTTCACACATATGCACATATACACTCATAGTCATACACACACGCACGTGCACATATACACATACAGTCATACTCACAGACACACCCAGACTCGCTCACACACGCATGCTGCCGTGACTGCCTTTGCGTGTCTGCTGTCGGTCCTGTTTATTCAGACCTCATGTCTGACAGCACAGAGCCCTGAGCGTCAGAGCAGAGCCTCCAAGGATAGACTTTTACACCTTGTTACTTCAGCAATTGATCTTGGCACCAGCTCACAGGAAACTCCCATTGGCCGCCCCACCCAGGCACATCATTTAGTAGTTCATTATAATGATTGTTTGGCCCCTCCTGACGATCATGATGTTCTGGAGAAGGCTGGCGTCCCAGGCACCTGGCTCCGGGTGGCGGGAAGGTGAGTGAGGCTGGGCCTACACCAGGTGAGGCTCACGACGTCACGAGGAGAGAGGAACGTGTGGTCGTGGTGCACGCACATCATCCACCTTGATGACTTTTAAGCAGTTCCTTTCAAATTCCAGGCCTTCCAGAAATCAGTATTTTATTTTGTTGGTCTGGGAAGATTCAGGCAACTCTGTAGCTCAGACAGGCCAACCTCAGCCTTAATTTCTTCAGCCCCAAAAGAGGAGCTGCTGGCACAGGACTCGTAACAACCTTTACTGGTAGCCACCACCACCGCTGCCTCCACTGCTGCCGCCTCTTC